GCTGCGGGGGTGCCGGTGCCGGCGGGGCTGGTGGGGCCGGGCTGTGCTCCGTGCCGGCTGCCGTCACTTACACCGGTGCCAAAGGATTGCAGGTGCCAAGGCGAACCTGGTCAGCACCTGATGAAATCCCCCTCGCCCCGCTGCTCTCATCGCCCTCCTTGAGGGCAGAAAGTGGGGGTCTCGCTGCCGCCCCACGGAAGGGCAGGAGGAAGGGTTTGATAAGGGCCTTTCCATGAGCTAAATGAGGAGGTTTTCCAGCAGCCAGAGGAGTCTCCGACAGCGGAGAGCTGTGCTAATTCGCGGGCACAGAACATTTCTGCTCCTGTACCTGAACAGGCTTGAGCTAAAGTGTGCTAATGTAAAAGACGCAGTGCTGAGCCTGGCCATGGGACTCCCTATCCCTCGGCAAACCGGCGTCACGATGACCAAGGGGACAAATCTCGCTCAAAGCACGAATAAGTAGTACAGTAATTTCCCCCCTCCTTCCTTCTTGCAGTCTCTAGAGGTCTTTCATTCTGGTTTGCTTTCCTCCCTGAAAAGACCATTGACCTCATTGTCTCTTTGCTGATGTTGGGGCACTGGGGGGGTGATGCTTTCACTCAGGACCAGGGTGCAGAGCTGAGGGTTGGGACCATCTGGCAGCCACAGCTCCTGCTTGGCTCAAAGGTGACATCTTTTCCCTAGTTACTTGTGCGAAACGCCCTTCCCTGGGAGAGCTGAGAGCAGAAAGCGGGTGCTTTCGTCCCCACCAAGGGCAGGGATCGCTTAGACCTGTTTTTATAGCATCTCCCCAGGGTATGGAGGGACCGAGGCTGTGCCAGGGAGGCCAGATCTGCTCAACCATGGAGAAGATGGCTTTGGTGGCACTCATCTTCTGGTTGCACTGGATTTTTGGGGGGTGACAGCAGTGGCTTCAGCGCTGCCACCACGTCCTTAACGGTGCTCATCTTCCCTCTCTGCAGAGCTACACCAAGAGTGCTGCCTTCATCGTCACCCTGCACCCGCTGCAGAACACCACCACCGACTTCTGGCGGTTGGTGTACGACTACGGCTGCACCTCCATCGTCATGCTCAACCAGCTCAACCAGTCCAACTCTGCCTGGGTGAGTGCTGCTGTCCCAGGGACTGTGCCGGCCCCGCATGTGGCCCTGTCCTGCTCGGTCCCCACCGCCTCGGAGGCCCCTGCCTTGCTCGCTCAGCTTCCTCTCCTCCGCAAGGGGAGATGGGGCTGGCTGCAGCACCCAGGATTTATGCCCTGTAAGCACAGGACTGGCCAGCTGGAGCCAAAGCTACGTGGCAGCAGCAAGCAGCCTGGCTTCCTTGTGTTGGCATTGCTTTACTGCACCATAATCTTTGTGGATACCCCAGCGAGATACAAGGTTAACAAGTATGACCTCGTTATAAAGAGCTGATTTTTATCCTCCTTTTACGAAGGCGAAACTGAGGCACAGGGGATTTCCCACGTTCATCTTCCAAGGGCACTGGGGGCTTGTGAATGCCACTTTACAAATTAGCCAGTTGCAAAGCAGCTGTCCCGTGGGTTTTACGGTGTGATGGGATGTGTAGGGGTGGTGAACTGGAGGGGAGGTGTCCTGTCACCCTGGGGAGAGGGGACAGAAGCAGGGGGCCATGCTCAGCCTCACCGCGCTTTGCTCTCCTGGTGCACCCCTCCCCAGGGGGATGCCTGGAGCGCTCCTGCCACCACTGGAGCGGATGTAAAAGTCCACTACAGGTCTGTAATGTTAATTCAATGAGGAAACTTAGTGAATTTTTACATAAAATTAGCATTATAGACGTAATGGATGCCTGGAGAAGACTTCTTTAGCTGGCTTATTTTATGAGTTGAGATCAGATACTCGACGTATGTGACCCAAACCGGCAGTTGTACCATTGGTCGCAAGGATGCAGATGGATGTTGGACAGGTACGGAGTGGTTTGTAAATACATGTGGATACTGAACGATGTGTAAATACGTGTGTAAATACCAGTGGATTTATTTATGTATAAAAACATGCTGGACATGTGCACCCATGCGTCCCTCCGTGCTGAGCTAATGCCAACGGACCTTTGCACAGGGTGACGTTAAGCAGACCCTGAGCATCGAGGGATGCCCTGGGGAGGCTTCTTGCCCTGTGGAAGTTTGCTGGGAGAGGAGGCAGAGCTGGCCCTGAAGAGCTTCACAGGTCATATGCTCACTCAGAGGAGCCGCTCTTAGATCAGGTCCATGTTCAACGAAGCAATCTGCCCATGGGCATGCTGAAATGGGCAGGTTTGTGTGACCGGGGTTGTTGGAGAGGCCCCTTCCACCTTTTGACTGTCTAGAGCTTGATGATGGTGACGATAGGGTCGAGTATTCATGGGTAAGAATCGGGGGAAGGCCAACAAGACAGGTATCACAGTGGGAGTCTGTTGCAGACCACCCAACCAAGATGAAGAGGCCAACAAAATATTCTACAAGCAGCTGGGAGAAGTCTCACAATCACTAGCCCTTGTTCTCATGGGGGACTTCAACTTACCAGATGTTCGATGGAAATACAATACGGCGGAGAGGAAACAGTCTGGGAGGTTCCTGGAGTGTGTGGAAGAGACCTTCCTGACACAGCGGGTGAGGGAGCCAACTAGGGAAGGTGCCCACTGGACCTGTTGTTTGTGAACAGAGGAGGACTGGTGGGTGATGGGAGGGTTGGAGGCTGTCTTGTGCACAGTGATCACTAAATGATAGAGTTTTTGATTCCTGGAGAAGTAAGGAGAAGCGTCAGCAGAACTGCTCCCTTGGGCTTCCAGAGGTCAGACTTTGGACTGTTCAGAAGGTCGGGTGACAGAGTCCCTTGGGAGGCCATCCTGAAGGGCTAAGGAGCCCAGGGAGGCTGGACGTTCTTCAAGAAGGAAATCTTCAGGGTGCAGGAACAGACTGTCCCCGTGTGCCAAAAGGAGGGCCGGCAGGGAAGACCGGCCTGGCTGAACAGAGAGCTTTGGCTGGAGCTCGGAAAAAAAGGAGAGTTTATGACTTTGGAAGAAGGGTGGGCAACTTGGGAGGATTCCAAAGATGATGTGAGGTTATGCAGGGAGAAAATTAGAAGGGTCAAAGCCCAACTAGAACTTGATCTGGCTACTGCCATAAAAAACAATAAAAAATGTTTTAATGTAATACATAAGCAACAAAAGGAGGGCTGAGGGGCTCCATCCTGTATTGGCTGTTGGGGGGAACCTGGTGACAAAGGACGAGGAAAAGGCTGAAGTACTTAATGCCAGTTGTTCTCGGGGTATCCAGCTCAGGGGGCTGGAAGACAAGGATGGGGAGCAGAATGAAGCCCCATAATCCAAGGGGAAATGGTTAGCGACCTGCTACACCAGTTAGACACACACATGTCTATGGGGCTGGATGGGATCCACCCAAGGGTAATGAGGGAGCTGTGGCATGGGCTCCCCAAGAGCTATGAGGGATTGGTTTGGTTGGAGTGGCCCTGGGTGCTGGTGTAGCTCCTGGGTTATTAAAAAGGACTCTGTGGGGCATTTTAAACCTCAAGTTTTAGCTAGATAAAATGTTGGGGTATGGTTTTGTTAAGCCATAACGACCCTTGTGCTTTTGGCAATTGGGAGCAGAGCAGTGTAGGATTTTCCAAGCCTAAAAATTGATGGAGAAGCCCAAGTACCACTGGTTTTCAGGCACCTCAGCATGGAACGGACATGTTTGGAATAATGCTGATGTTGATGTGTATCTTGTCGGCATTCAGCAGACGCCACAAGAAGATTGACAGTTTTGGTGCAGCCAGGTACAGAGCAAGCACAAAATCCCCATGATATGATGGGTTCCACAGATCCAAAGTCAGCAGCGATAACCAAACCCTGTTTTGTCAGCATTTCTGCTCCTTGAAATTCTGTGTAGGAGAATTCCTGAAAATGACCCGTGAGGCAAAAGTGGCCATTTGCTCCCACCCCCATCTCCTACCTTGTAAAGTCTTATTTTATCTGAA